ACCTTGAAGGACCAGCAGCTGTTTGACACAAGGGAATGGCTTACTATTTCTTTTGGCAACCGACTTTTTTATTAACTGACTTTTCTTAAAGAAGTTTCTGCCTCAGATTTTGTAAGCTGTGCTTATTTATATGAGGTGTGTGTGCGAATGTAGATTTTTGTATGTAACAGTGAAATTGTCCGCTGTCATTCTTGACACGTGTACCCTTCAATAGAATGGACGTGTGACCATTTGAGAAAAGCTGAAACTGCAAGCCAGTGCCCACGGCAGCTCTCTGCCAGCAGGTCAAAGGTAGAAACAAGGGGACTATCTGCAGAGACGGAGCACAGCTTGCTGTGGGGACTGTCACTCGGCTAGGAGACCTGCACTCCTGATACACGCCAGAGGTGAACCTTGAAAACGTGGGGTGAAGCAAGCACTTGCTAGTGGACGATGTGTGATTCCACGTGAGCACGAACCACTGCACAGGAAACAAAGCTCCTGAGCCGTCCCGGGGGCTGTGCCGGGGGAGTCCCGAGTGACGGAGAAGGCTCGTGGTGTGGCTGAACAATCTGAAGAATGTAACGTGACTGAGTTCTTGTATTTTCACGATTTATTATCAAAAATATCAAAACGAGGAGCAATTGTTTCTGCGTCCAGGTTCAGACCCTCCTGAGGGCCGTGTGTGCTGCCGTCGCTAACCTGTGGGTCTTGTCAAGTGTGTGCCCCGCTGGGAGAAACCTAGCATTCCCTCCCACTGTCTCCAGTCCCACACCGCTCAGGCCTCCGAGGACCACCACCCAACCCCCACCCACCCCCGGCCTCTCCACTTCCAGCCCTTCGTGAGTCTCTCCCACTCTGAGATTACACGGATTCAGTGAATAAAAAAATTATGCAAATACTTGGATGTCTTCTACAATTAATTCCCAACGTTTCTTCCCAATCTTTCTGCTACACTTCAGGAAACTGCGGGCCGGACCAGCTGCTCCGGGCGGGGAGTTTTGTTCCTAGGTTGCTGTTACCCCAAACGCCCACTGTCCCCTCTGCATCTTACGCATCTTTCAAACATTACCCGGTCCACACAGCTTGTCTTGATTTCTGCCCAGCTCTCACAGCCTTTACTCTTAGCCGAGTTAAAGCCACGTATGTCTACCAACCAGTGCCCAGTTGAAGGTAAAAGTACCCACATAAATGCCACTGAGTTGATTCCAACCCATAGCAACCCTCAATAGGGTATCCTAGGCTGTGCAAATCTACAGGAGCAGACAGCCTCACCTTTCTTACACAGAGCAGCTGGTGAG